CCAGTTTGGTGTCATCAGCAAACTTGCTGAGGGTACATTCTAACTCTTCATCCAGGTCATTGATGAAGTTAAACAAGGCTGGGCCCAGTACTGACCCCTGGGGGACACCACTAGTTACAGGCCTCCAACTAGACTCAGCACTGCTGACGACAACCCTCTGAGTTCTACCATTCAGCCAGTTCTCAATCCACCTCACTGACCACTGATCCAGCCCATACTTCCTGAGCTTCCCTAGGAGGGTATTATGGGAGACTGTGTCGAAAGCCTTGCTGAAGTCGAGGTAGACAACATCCACGGCTCTCCCCTCATCTACCCAGCTAGTCATGTCATTGTAGAAAGCTATCAGATTGGTCAGGCATGATTTCCCCTTGGTGAATCCATGATGACTACTCCTGATAACCTTCTTTTCCTCCACTTGCTTGTTGATGACCTCCAGGATATGCTGCTCCATCACCTTTCCCGGGATGGAGGTAAGGCTGACCGGCCTGTAGTTCCCTGGGTCCTCCTTTTTGCCCTTTTTGATAATTGGAGTGACATTGGCCTTTCTCCAGTCCTCGGGCATCTCTCCTGTCCTCCAGGACCTCTCAAAGATGATGGTTCTCTAAAAGAGTCTCTAAAAGATGATGATTCTCTAAAAGAATCTTATATAACCTAAAATAATGACTGTAGTTCAGGAAAACTGACCTTTTCCTTTACATAAAAAAGAAAGTATTAAAAAAATCACAAGCAACCTCTGCACATGAGGAAGAAGCCAGGCCACGTCAGGAGTGAAAATAATGTGAACGTCCACAAGGCTACGGCACTACTGACAAGTATTAATTACGTGACAAGCAGTTCACTGCAAAAGCTAATGTTCTGTCTTGCCTCCCTCACTTCTTCTGTTATTAATATATATACCATGGGTACAGTCTGTCTGTCTGAGCTGCAGCCACATCTGTAACACGCTCAGGAGAGTTTTAAATTTGCGGTGGTAACAGTGTGCCTGTGGCACCATAGCGCTTAGCATGAGATGACCAACAAACTGGTTCAAAAGACAAGTATTTAGGTCATACCGCTTCAAATCAACTAGTAGCAACACAGGTTTAATACGAAATGCAGCCAAATGCAATGAAATCTCAACAAACCCTTTACCCAGGCAGACGTGTCATAGGCCTGTCAAATATAGTTAGCTCTTACTATGTGCTTGATCCTTTCAGTTAAAATGTCGCTCTCTATCCTGAAAGCTGGTGGGCACAGAACAAGGGTGAGAGTTCGCACTTGTTTTTTATGTGGCATCTTATAGCTCGATTGACACAAAGTCCTATATCTGTGTCTTTGCCGGCCACTGCAGGGGGAGAGACTGTGGATAAATGACATGTGAGTTTGTGCTTTAATGTGTGCACTAAATCTTGAACGTGCTATTTCTGTACAGTGGCATTCCTTGGGGTAGGTCAATAAAGTCAGTTAAGAGTAGATTGAAATTAGTTCTTAACTGCAGCTTTGCTTAACATTTACCTTGTTCACACATGCTCACATTCAGATTTCAGCCAAATGCTGGAGATCTCTGAAATGAAGGAGTTCAACATTTGAACACGGGACCTTGCTTTTGCTCATGCAGTCCATAAAAATGGAGTGTGGATGGGATGCAACAGCCTAGCATCACCAGTAAGCATCCTTATCTGTCTTTAGTCAGCACAGACACTTTGAACGAGAGGGCTCAGATGGGAGAACACACCTTTCAGTGGCCATGTCATCGGCAGTGCCCCTACCTCCCAGCTTATTTCCAGCTCCTCCATTTTGATACTGTGCAGTCATGCAAGTAAGGTCAGAAAACACACTGCAAGAGGCTGACAAAGGATAAGGATGCCTTTATTTTTTCCTCTAAATTTACATCTTACCTTCCTAAATATTCCTATCATTGCACAGGCAAGCCCTCAGCAAGAATAAATATTTTAAAATATATATATCCATTAAAAAAGTAGCGGTTTCAAAGAGAAAATATGGCTAGATATACACTGGGTTAACATTTTACTTCAATTTCCCATTTAAGACATTAGGAAGAATGCCTCTGAGGGCATGGGCTCCTTGTCCAAGGACTGAGTTTTCACCAAAAGGGTAGTCAAGCATCACTCCCTTTCCCCTGCAATCACAGGACTGCAAGTCGAGTCAGAAGACCTGACCTAAAACTATCCAATAACAACAAAAAGTTTTAAGCCAAATCCGTGGATTGATCCAATTAGCACTGTGGCCTTAAAATTCCTGGAGCTGAGAGAGAGAAGGAACATAAGGCTGGCAGCTGGCTGGAAGGTGGGACAGCCCTTGTCTGAGCTGAGGGTGGAACCGTGCTCTGAAGGTGAAGTTATATGTGACTGCTGGGGTTCACACCACCTAAGTCTTGCCTCAATGGAAAGGGCAACTCTCCTCTTCCTCTAGTATATGAAACAAAAAAGACCCAGACCTTTACCCCATACTGTTTACACCCATCTAACCTGCACCACGCTTATTCAGTTTTCTTGTAAAGAAAAAAAAAAGTTGACAGATTTCTGTTGGCTTTGTAGGCTGAACTGGCACAGCTCCTGGCAAAGTGTTTGCATGGTCATGAATGGGGATGAACATGACTTTCCTCTTTCAGCAACAAGCTGCGCTGTAACATGAAGCTTCTTCTTGTCCCTACTTTCATGGGAACTGTGCCAACAGTTTACTTGACAAATGACCTCTTGCCCATAAAAAAAGTTTATTATTAATAACAAATCTAGATAGTAGACAATACTGAATTCAAGTCTCATGAAATTTTAAAAAAAAGTATATTAATTGAATCAACAGCAGCCACTCTAGATGGAGATTCCAATACTGTGAAAACCCGAGTTCACGTTCATCAACCAGAAATAAGCCACCTGCTAAGAACTCTAAAGAAAGTTATTTGAACATATTACAGATAACACTTTTTAAAATCAAATACTATTAAAGATTTTAAGAAACCAGATGTGTGAGATTCATAATAAATTAAATAGTATCTGCATATCTGACAGGTGAATGCACGGGCCTCCCTTTTTTGAAGCATGAATACAGACAACAAATCAAGCAAGCCTGTACCTGGATTTTCAAGTTTTACAGTGACATCCAACTGTATTCTCCCATGCAGTCCAATTTTTGAACCTTCTTTTAATCCCTCAGTATGTAACAGTGAGAGGCCCTCGTTAGAAGGATAAAGTAGCTCACAGACATGAGAAGCTCAATTAGGAGAGCTGTGGATATTTTTGTTTTGTAAATTTCTACACAGTTGAAACTGAAAATGTTCAAGATACCTGAAAATATCACAGAGTGCAAAATACGGCATAAGTAAACAGAAGAAGCATTAGAAGATGCTTCACATTTCTCAAAGCTTGCTAAAAACTTCTGCATTGTTATTGTTGGCTGAAGAGAGATTAGAGTTTTTCTGACAGATTGCATAACTTCACATACTAGCTCTTCCCATTTCTACTCCAAATTTTCACTGAAAAAGGAAAAACACTGATGAAAGTGTGAGTACAGGTAAAGTTTCACAACCTGTCTGAAACAACTTTATACACTAACTGGATTAAGCTAGGATTAATTAATTAGCTAGTGCCACTGCCTCTGTTTGTTATGTAAACCTACCAATCACCATCTTTGCAAAGACACTGTTCCAAGAGATGCAAGGAACCAACTTCGCAGCTCATCATCGCAAGAGAAGATCCAGTTTTTCCACCTCCCTGCATTCACCCTCATGTTGCTGCTTATCTTATGCTAGCTCTAGGGCTCATGAGAACTGACTTGACACATCAACTAGGTAAAAAACTATCCCAGTCGTAAAAAAACAAACTCTTTGCCAGCTGAAGTGAGGACATCACAACAGTCAGAAAAAAAAAAAAAGTAGGACTGCTCAGACAGGCAGAAAGGCACTAGGGAGGGAGAAAGGAGAAACATCTCCTTTTACTGGCATCAAGCTGTTACACTAATTACCTGTGAAATTTTAGTTGAATACTTTCATAAATAGTTAGATCTCTTATCTCTCCTCTCAAAGTCTCAACAATTCCCCCACCTTGCTCATTGATTAACTGTTACAGATGAGATATATCCAAACATTCCATTTCCTTATACAAATCATCAGATGACATTATTTCAGATAAATTCAAGAAGGTTTAGATTAAACCTCAAGAATAGTTTTAATTATACTGATCTCTCTCTGCCAATGGATCCATAATAATAAACAGACTTTCAAGTGGACACCAAACTGATCTATAAACATGAGAAGCAATTAAGTAATTAACTAGAACAGCACATCCAAATAAAAAGTATGTGTAACCTGTACTTGTAAAAAAAATAAAGCTAATGCAACATATCTGCATCACTTTCTGAATTTCCTTCCGCCAAGCACTTAGTGTCATTTCTACTTTTCAAAAGTACTGCAAGACAAGTTCTATTTTTTAGCACTTTAGTGTTTTGTTAGTACTTCTGAAATGGAATTTCATTCTCAAATACAGGAGCTGAGGAAAATTGTACTCAGACATTCAAGCAATCTTCCGCTTCTAAAATTAAGTTAGTGCAAATTAGCTTCCTGTAGTCAGGAAATTCAAGTGTCATATAAATGAGTGTTTCAACTTAAATTAAAAAGTTACAGAGATTAAGTATTTTCATTACTGACCTATTTCACTGGGGAAGTATTCTAATACTTCAAATTTCCACTTTTTATAGGCAGCATAGCGTTGATACATATCAAATATCTCCGAGGTGAACAGCATGGCTTCCTGCCCTCCAACTCCAGCAGTTACTTCCATGACAAGATCACTCTTGTCTGTTTCTTCTGCAGGAATCAAAAGCAACACTATCTGTGAAAACAAGAAACCCAGCTAAGACTTCCCTCCAATGCTGCCAGCCACAACTGAGATAGCATAAAACACCATGCAAGTCCATCATCAACGTAGGCTGTGTTCTCCTGCACTGGCTGGTTGGTTGCCCAGAGGACAGGCTTCTCATGGCTCCGGCAGTGAAGAAGCAGCCATCAGGAAGAGGTGGGGGGGATGCTGCACTGCACGAAGGCTCCCTGTGTGTGCTCACAGTCTCTCTCAAGACCCACAAAACTTCACAGAAGTTTTCACCCATGAGGAGCACTGCTACATTTGGACACCACAGGATACATGCCCATTCTTGCAAGACAACTGAGTACCTCCCTCCCCATCAGATTCGCTTTTAACCTGGTTTCAACTGCAGAGCTAAGAAGGTATGGATGTTCAGGAGGACAGTCCTTCAACAACACCTCAGCTGTATTATTCATTTATTTCTTTAAAAAGAGAAAGCCAGCCTTATATCGATCTATAGAAGAAAAATACACTAGAACCAAAAAACTATACCACAACTTTACAGGCTGGATCAAAATTCTGAATGATTTGAAAAGGCTTTTTAATCATCTTCTTTTACTAGTATTACACGATGTTTCTTTCCACAGGTGACTACTTCTTTTGGCAAAATCATAAATATCTACAAAAAATATTTATACAGTGACTGTTGTATTGTTGTGGAAGCAGCAAAGAATGTGATAGTATCAGCTTGTAGGTCACCAGTAACATTAAGAATATGTAACAGTTTGTTTTTTAAAGATCACTATTTTTATGTCAAATAACATAGATACTATGTAGAACCTATAGAAGGTAACAGTCTAAAGTAGTTACATAGTATTAAACCATTTGTTAAAAAACCACCAGTGTGTGTGGCACTATACAAGTTTAATGTTTCCAATAGATAAAAAGCTGGATATCCTATAAATGTATACTCCGACAAGATAAACTATAGCACTTAATGATAAAGATTTATTGATGCAAAGAATTTCAGATACAAGTAGGTACTTACTTACAGGATGTCTCTATACCATCTGCATTTTTCATTTTCCTTAGATAACAGACACTAGCTGAGGATTATAACTGGCAGGGAGGGGAGGAGGAGAAGAGTTTATTGTATACATCTTATTTTGATGAGGAGACAATTTGGCTTTGTTAATTTAGTAAAGGCAAGGAAACAGAGGCTTTAAAGGGGGATCTAACCTGGTGTTTCAGTTCAGCTACCTCTTCTTCACAGGAGGTGATCTCCCTTTCTGCAAGCTTCCGGAAATCTTCGCTCTCATCTGGAATATTTGAGTATGGTTAATCTTCAGACTTATATCAGTGCCACTGTCAGAAAACCTTCTGAAAAATAACCACATGAAGAACTTACTCTACAAAAAAAACCCAAAACAAAACAAAAAAACAACCCACCACGCAAAAATTTCCCAACACACCAAACCTGTCAGAAAATGAGATGACTAATATGACCTGTAACAAAGATGAACAGTACATATTAAGTGTGTTTTCTGATTTTGTTCAGGTATGAAACATAGGAAAATCTGAAATGCCAGAAGTTCCACTTAAACATTAAAAACAAACAAACAAAAAACCCCAACCCAACCGAAAAAAAAACCAGGAATTGCTGTGCTGGTGGTCCTATGAAACACAGGAAATCTGAAATACCAGAAGTTCCACTCAAACATTAAAAACAAATAAACAAAAAAACCATCTCAACCAAACACACCCAGGAATTGCTGTGCTAGTGGTCAAACAGCAGCACAGGTTGCCCACAGTGGCTGTGGAGTCTCCATCCATGGGGATATTCAAACCCTGCCTGGACACAGTCCTGCTGGGCTGGACCATCTCCAGAGGTCCCTCCTCACCTCAGCCATTCTGGGATTCTAAGAAATTGCTTTCTGTATTTCACTGTGACAAGAACTTCAGGGATTTAAAGAACACAGCAGCCCTACAATTGACACTCTTCATTAAAAGGACTGTTACTCCTATCACTGTATGCAAAAATTTGAAGATGGCAGTAGTAATCTCAAGTATTTTATCTCTGTCAATTTCTTCCAGAACAGCTGCAAAACTTCTAACACATCACTAAAAACAAAGGTATTGAAGAACTCTTGCATAATAAGAGGAACTTGTAATTTTAATCAGTTACTTAACTGATCAACACTAGTGCTTTACAATTAAGACTTGTTTTTCTGTACTACAGTTTTGATACTTTAAAATGTTCCTTTTTTTCCAGTCAACATCAAATGTCACCCCCCTCCTAATTTTAATCAGTTACTTAACTGATCAACACTAGTGCTTTACAATTAAGACTTGTTTTTCTGTACTACAGTTTTGATACTTTAAAATGTTCCTTTTTTTCCAGTCAACATCAAATGTCACCCCCCTCCCTCCCACCCCCCAAAAAAAATCAACACCTTAAGCAGCCTCTGATCTGCACTGATTCATCTCATCCAGAAAAAAAATATATTACTGCAAAAAGGAGAAAACGGTACATACAATGAGAGAGTGGGGACTGAGGCGGGCACAGGGACACAGAACTGCACAGTCAGCAGCAAGAGAAGAAAAAGAAAGATGCTACACTTCTTTGTTCTGTGTACAGCAAGCTTTTAAACGCATTCAGCCAAGACGAGGTGCACTCTTTACAATAAAGCCACACCTTTTCACACCTTAACTGCATTTAGCCTAGCACAATTTTAAATGAAACATTTTGACTTTACAGTTTAAGTTTGATATTGGTGAACTAAACCCCCTCCCCTCCATCCTAATCAATTCTATAAGGAAATTAAAATATAATAATGCTTAAATTGGTTTAAACAAGCATACTTTACCTACAGCTGGCTAAGAGCAGGCACGGTTGACTAGCTGACTAACTGTAACTCATTAAACATCTAAACTTGACTCCAACAATCTGCCTTTCTTTACAATAACTACTGACTGACCAAGGACTAGTCATTAATGCTAAAAGAAGGAAGGATAACAGGTAAGGAATTCAAACCAAACCAGCTATTCATAATGCACTTATAAAATTAAATAGTCTAGTGAAAAGCAGTTGAATACTTTGAGGTGCAAATGCAATATAAGCTCTAAAATCAGTTTAAAATAATATATACAAGTATTTTTAAGCATGAACTCCAAAGGTGCTCAAAGTTATTGACTAAGCCCTTGCAATTCCTTCACTTTGCTGAAGTTCTAAACCTGGTTTTGATGCCACTGGCTTCTTCAGCAGATTCTGCAAGGGAGGGAAGAACCCCCCCCTCCCCATTCCATCTCACGCAGCTACTTTGGGTCATTGATTAATGTGGTCAAAGGAACCATTTCTCCTTTTCCAATCTGAAGTGGGAAGAGAATGAACAGAAACAAAAAAACGACCATTTGCTTTCGGGCAGTGCCTGTCGTCTCCATCAGCTGAAACAACCAACTGCTGCGGTTAACACTCTTCCCCAGGCAGCACCCAGAGAAGCAACGAGTGTCGAATGATCTCGGGAACCTCCATTTGAACGACCTTGCGAACCTTCACCTGCTTTCCCGCATTTTGGTTTCTAGCCACAACAGAAACAGAGTTTGATTCAGGGTAAAAAATATTTGCCATTTGATGACTCTAAAACCGTGCACCTATGCAACACGAAGTTACCCCATAGCGTGGAGGCAGCACAAGCGGACACTGAGGTCCGTGGCTGCTGAGATGGATGCAGGCCTGGCCGCCTAAACTAAATAACTAAAGAAATGAACACTAAAAAAACAAACGGAAACTAATAAAAAGACGAAAACTAAAAAAATGAAAACTTTTCTACCCCTAATTCATGTCTTTATTCCATATGAAACAGACGCCACCACGCTGCTCTCCCTTAAAGTGCCAGCAGCCCCCAGGCCGCTGGGCGCGGGGGTTTTA